GTATTCATCTCAGATGCCCATTTTTGGATTGGATCTTTGAATTTTGGGGGTCTGATTTCTTTTAATTCTTTATATGTTTTTGACAGAAGTCCTTTGTCTGAGGGACAGTTCACTAAGATTTTTTTCCCAGTTTGTGGCTTTTCTTTTCACTGTGCTGGAGATTTCTTTTGACATGTGGAAACTTTTTAATAAGATGTGATTCCAGCTATTGATTCTGGGGAGTATTTCCTGTGTGGTTTGATTCCTGTTCATGAATTCTCTAACTACCCCTGTCTTGACTTTTACCTAATTTATCTTCCAACAGTTTTAGTGTTTCTGTTTTAATATTCAGATCTTTGATCCATTTAGATTTTAGTTTAGTACATGGTTATAGGCATGGGTCTAGTTTTAGTTTTCAGCATATAGAGAGCCAGTTTTTCTAGCACCATTTATTAAAGAGGCTGTTGTTCTTCCAGTGAAACTGTTTGGCCCCTTTATCAAATATAAGGTGGTTGAGTGTGTTGGTAGTTGTGGTTGTATCTTCTAATCTATTCCATTGATCTTCGACTCTGTTTTGGTTCCAGTACCATGTTGATTTTACTACAGTTGCTTTGTAGTATAACTCCAAGTCAGGGATTATGATGCCTCCTGCTTTGCATTTTTTGCTTAGAACTATCTTTGCTATTCTGGGTCTCTTCTCACTCCAGATGAATTTTAGGAGTGATTTCTCAAGATCTATGGTTGATGGTATTTTTATTGGGATTGCATTGAATCTGTTTAACAGTTTTGGGAGAATGGCCATTTTTATGATACTTATTCTTCCTATCCATGAGCAAAGGATGTCTTTCCATTTTCTGAGATCCTCTTCAATTTCTTTTTTCAGTGTATTATAATTTTCCCTGTATAGATCTTTCACTTCTTTTGTGAGAGTAATTTGGCATGTGCAGAACCAGTTTTTCTAGCACCATTTATTAAAGAAACTATTGTTCTTCCAGTGAACCTGTTTGGCCCCTTTATCAAAGAAAAATTGGTTGAGTGTGTTGGTAGTTGTGGTTGTATCTTCTGATCTATTCCATTGATCTTTGGCTATGTTTTGATTCCGGTACCATGTTGATCTTACTACAGTTGCTTTGTTGTATAATTTCAAGTCAGGGATTGTGATGCCTCCTGCCTTGCCTTTGCTGCTTAGAATTAGCTTTGTATGCTAGGTCTCTTCTGGTTTCAGATGAATTTTAGGATTGATTTCTCTAGATCTATGAGGTATACGGATGATATTTTCATTGGGATTATTCTTTTGTGTTAGATGGGTTTCTTGCAGACAGCATATAGTTGGATGTTCTCTCTTAATCCATACTGCCAGTCTGTTATTTTTATCATTTCTTCTTTTACCTGGGAGATTATTTCTAGTCTGAATTCCTTTAAAGCTTCCTGGAGTTGCTACTTTATTTCAGTTGCTATTATTACATGTATTTCAAGTATATGGCATATATTTTCTTCTATGTACATGGCTCCTAGGCTTTCTTGGGATGGGCTGGAGGTTTGAGATTCCATTTTGGTCTTTCATTTTGTCATTTTCCTATATTTCTGTGTTTCAAATATTTTTCTAAGGCTTCCCAGGATGTGTTGGAAGTTGTCTCCTATGCCCTATGCTCCTGGAACTGAATGGAGGTTGCTGAGTGTGGTCCATTCAGGCCCTCAGGCCCTCCTGTACCCCCTTCAGTGTTCCAGGTAGCTAGACAGGCACCTAACCACTGTGGATGATGCTAAATCTCTCCCCATGCAAAGACCAATGCCCTTGAACTCACTTCACCTGCTCTCAACTCCCATAATTGAAGTAGGTCACTGGGTGTAATCTCCTGAGGTTGCAAACCTCCTAAGGCTAGTCTAGTGTGGCTGAGACCTGGGTGGGTCCTTGAGTTCTGGGAGCAATGATCTTAATTACTTTCCTGGGGCTTGGGATGGTGCGCAGACTCACCCCAGCTGCCAGCTGAGTTTCCCAGTTTGGGCAAAGGTTGCTGGGTGTATCTTGGGCAGGCCTGAATCCTGCAGAGGGAGGACAGCCTAGTGTGGCTGGGCCCTGGGCGGGTCCTTGAGTCCTTGAGTTCTGGGAGTGATGTTCTTAATGCAGTCTCCCTGCTCGGAATGGCCTGTGGACTCATCCCAGTCACCAGCTGAATTTCCCGGTTCCAGAGAAGGTCACTTGGCATGTCCTGGGCAGGCCTGAAACCTGCATAGTGAGCACAGCCTAGTGTGGCTGTCTGGGTGGGTCCTTGAGCTTTGGGAGCAATTATCTTAGCATAGTCTCCCGGGCTTGGGATGGGGAGCAGACTCACCCCAGCTACCAGCTGAGTTTCCGTGCTTTCAGTATTTTTGTTTGTTTTTAAAAACTTCTTGTGTGTCTCTGCAAGTTTAGACTTTGTACCAACTGTCCCCATTATCTTCAGTTTCTGAGGGCTTCAACATCAATTAGTCTTTTAAATCTACCACATAATTATATTTCCCCCTTCATTTGCTCCTTTTTGAATTACTCCTTGAAGTATTTTTCATGACAGACCCCTGACTGATAGAGATGATACTTATAATTGCACTTATTTACACTCCTACTTAAAGAGTATAAGAATTTGATCACTTCCCATTATCATCAAGAGTTGATCTTGTTAGATTTCAAAAAATTTCCTGGTCTGATACACTGGAAAGATATATTTAGTTTTTGCACTTTCTATTATGAATTACATTAAGCACCACTTTATTTTAGTTTTCAGAAATTTAACTTTAATATTGTGCTTTAAATTTCAAATTTTTTGGTTATTTATTATTTATTTACAACTTGATTTCATATTTTACTCCAAGGTTTGTTTCCATCCTTATGAAACTTAGACACTTTCAATGACATAGAAAGTTCTACAGGATCTGAAGTCAGTTTCTGTATGATATCATTGCTTGCTGCTGCTCCTTTTCTTGTTTAATTTAATTAAATTAATTAATTTATTTATCAGTACCTGGGATTGAACTCATGACTACCTGCTTGCAAGGCAGGCACTTACGCCATTGAGCTAAATTCCCAGCCCCCTGTCTTGTTTAATTTTACCCATACTGCTCTCCATGCTTTTCCTCAAACACTCAAGCAAACTGTCAAACTTAAGCCTTTAGATTAATGTGTTAAGCAAAATATCCATGCTACCATCAAAATGAGTGATAGAAAATCTTAGTCAAATTTTCATAAGTGAATTTCAGTTAATCATAAATCAAAGGAGGGAATGAAACTCTAAGCTATAAAGCTCCTGTGCTATTTTCCATGAAACTGTGCTGCATCAACTTATATGTTCTAGATTTGGTTACCATTAGAAATTCTAAACAAGAGTTGTTTGTTAAATGCATTATATTGTTAAAGATTCTCTGCCTATAAAAAGTTATTAATATATGTTTCAGGAGGTACAGTTATCAAATATATTCACAAGAAAATTATTGCATGTAATTTTCAATATTTATTTTTTGGGACCATGCATTGGTTGTTGCAGAAAAAATGAATCAGAGCTCAGATGCTTTAATTTTTTCTCTCTATCACATTTCTACATTTGAATGTTATCCTTCAAACAAAGTAAGTCTTTATGATCCAGATAGAAAAAATACCAATTGTTTTGTTCCTGTCTCTCCTTTTTCCTTCTCTTTCTGCTTCCCTTCCCTTCTTTTCCTTCCCTTCCCATCCCTTTTCCTCCCTTTCCCTCCCCTCCCCTCTTCTTTCCTTTTCTTTCATTACCTTTCCTTTCTTTCCTTCTGCTTCTTCTCCCCTCCTCCCCTCTCCTCCCCTCTCCTTTCCCTTGCCTTCCCTTCCCTCCCCTCCCATTCCCTCCTTTCCCTTCCCTCCCTTCCCTTGCCTTCCCTTCCCTTCCCTTTCCTTTCTTTTCCTTTCCCTCCTTTCCCTTTCTTTTCTTTTCTTTTTTCTCCCTTTCCTTTCCTTTCCTTTCCTTTCCTTTCCTTTCCTTTCCTTTCCTTTCCTTTCCTTTCCTTTCCTTTCCTTCCTTATCTTCCTTTCTTTCCTTATCTTCCTTTCCTTTCCAATCTCCTTCACTCTGCTCCCTCCCTCACTCCCACTCTCTCTCCTTTCTTTCCTTTATCTTTTGTTTCAACTCTCTTGCAGAGAAATCTTTTGTTTTCCCTTAGGTGTCTTTACCCCATAACTTGCTTATATTCTTACTATTGCTTATTCAGTGTAATAGAGTCTGGTTGTCATTTCTCAGAACTTCCTTCAATTACTTTCTTCACTGCTTCTCTACTCTTTCAAATAGAAGTTGGGTAATTTCCACTCCTTTGGCTTACTTTTACTGCTAGTATATGGATATTTATGGATGCTAAAAAGTAAAGGCTACATTTTTCAACTTTTGTATTTCTTTTTCTTCTCTTACATTATTTATCTTATTATAGTCCAGATCAGAGAACCAGACATTATCTGGGAGAATGGAGTGGCTAGTCATCCTGAATTTACAGTGCTTCATTCCCAGAAACATCCATTAGTTTTCAACAGTCTGGAGAGTGACTTTTACTTTAGTAGAATTTCAGATAATCTAAGTATAGAGAAGTTAATTACTTTGCAGATTAAATTTATTAATGACAGATGTCTCTCTCAGGTGCCATTCTGCTTTACTTATTTTCTGACTCTCATTATGTGTAAATATTATTGACAGTGACTACAATACATATGTGTGTGTCTGTGTGTGTATTCTGTGACATGAATTGGTTTGTACAGTATTTCTCTTTCTCATTTGAAAGAATTAGTAGCTTTAAAACAAATCTTGGAAATCATGAAATCCTTTCATGTAAAGATGTTTTTGAACAAAACTGTAAAATTGTTTAATGAATCAATAATATTTAGTACTGTAGAATTATTTAAAAATAAACCTATTATTTTATATATAAAATCAAAGCACATATGCCACAATAATGATGAATTGTATATGTTGAGAGAAGATAGGGTAATTTTTATACTTGGTTACATTAATTATGCACATTGTATTTTTTTCTAGACTCATTGGAAGAATGTGCAGTACAAACTAATTTGAAAATTTGGAGAGAACCTATTAATGTTGAATTTAAAGAAGAAAGTCTCTCCTATATGGAAAAATTATGGCTTAAAAAACACAGAAGGTATATTTCTAAATTTTAATATTATTATAAAGAGTATACATATTTTTTAGTCTTTGCTTGTATGACATATCTTTCTGTAGCAATTTTATATTTTTATTTGTATAAATAATTTAAAATTAATTTTAAGTCTCTGAAGCTTCTATATTCCAAAACAACGTGATGCTTCAGTAATTTATAATTGTCTTGAGAAATGGAATTGTTTTTTACATAAGGGCACAAATAAAGGATCTAAGAATGTTGTAGTAAGGGATTGTGCAGAGAACAATTAAAATGAGGGCATGCAGTTTATAATATTATTTTATGATGGTCACCCAGGGTTAACACAAGAAAATGCAGGAAATGTATCCACAACACTAAAGACCTAGAATATTTAGCCAAGGGTCGGAATCCCACAGCAGTGACCCATATGAGTTCAGATGAAGACCTAGAGCTCATGACAATGCTTCCCATGAGTCCAACTAGATGTCCAGAGCTCACAAGAAGGACTCACACCAGTCTGTTTTATGGACTCATGTTGGGAAGGCCCAAAGGTCAGTGGTGGAAGCCATAAAGTCTATGCCAGTGTGGTGAAGGAGCTGTACTGATAGGATGAGGTTTCTATGCTGGAGCTGAGAAGTCACAGTCAATACAAAGACCAGGGCAAGGACAGCCATAAAAAAGCACAATAGTGATCCTCAGCAACACGGAGGCCCTGAGCTCCTCTGACAATAAGCACAGTCAGGTATGTGCTAGAGAGTCAGTGTGATGAGTTCATCCTGGAAACCAATCGGTACACATCTTCCCCTCTGGAGCCAGGAAGCAGTGCTCCACGTAAGGACCAGAGTTTCTCTAGGAGAACCAATGGCTCAAACAACAACACGTAGGAGACCTCACAATGCCTCAACACCTTTGTTCTCCTTCTCCAAGTCTCTATTTATGCTGGCAACTTTCCTCAAGTGGAACCTCTATGTTCAGCACTATGGTGATTAAATTCCACTGGTGTTACGTTGACTACCAGTTTTTAATCTATAACAAAGAATAATAGTAAACTGTAATAAATAAGAGATTACTTTGAAAAGGTAATACTGTCAGTTTTTACATTACCCTAAACTTTTTCAATTTTTATTTTTATTAGTACATGTTTTCATGATTATAATTCATTGTAAGGGTTCTTACATATACATAACACATCTTAATCCTTTTTATGTCTCCTCTCTTTTTTTGATCTTCTGGTCACTTTCCTATTGTAAAGTCTATCTCGGTTTCCTGTTATCTAATTCTCATTTTGCTCTTTGTTTTATTTATACACAGTTTCTCATATAGTTTAAGTTTGTGTATCTGATTTATTAAACACATCATTATAATTTCACAGTGCATCTGTTTTCCTAAGGAAGACTCAAATTTATCCTTTTTTCAAGCAGAGTGGTTGCCCCCTATATACAAAACTACATTTTCTTTATTCATTTATCTGTAGGTAGACATATAGAATACATCCAAGATTTTGCTGTTATGAATTATGCTGCTATATTAACATAAATAATTGAGAATCTACTGTTCATTGGATCTTTAACTTTATAAATTTGATAATAGTAATCAAATGTGCTTCATTCAAAGACTACCATTACATAAATTGCTTTCAAAATAACTTAATAAAATTTTAAACCAAAAATTAAAAAAAATAGTATATGTTATAGTCATTTCCGCTTTAGCACCATATGAAACCCATAGGAATTTATACCTTTTAGGTACATTTAAAGTCAGAAGCTCAGTTTTCCCTAAAACTGAGGTGCTTACCATTCATTGTGTTTTCCAATTGTATAGAGAGTGTGAGAAAATATGAATTCTTTAGTAGGTTTGAAGATGGGGCCTGACATTCAGTGTTACTGAATTTCTGGTTGTCCCCTAAGTGATACTGATTAGATGATACTGGTTTCTGGACCACGAGTGGAGGAGCGAGGGATGGAGTTTTCTAAAAAGCACTTTAAGAGTAGATATGTGACTCAGTATTATCTTAAAAATCTTTCTTAATCAACCAGTCTAATGTAAACATCCTGACCAACACTTATTCATAGAGTAGGTTCAGTATCACTTAACACACGTTTACCCAATTGAATTAATCAATGCCCAACAAATATGTTCTAAATTTTAATCAGTAGAAGTATGGTAAGGTAAACAGAACTGTTTCATATGTGGCACAATTTTTAGAAAAAAATGTTGGTACCCAAGTCCAAATATCTGTAATTTAGACTAAGTCACTTACTAACAAACTGTTTGTTCAAGACAAATTACTTGAACTTTTGTTGTCCAAGTTTTGCAAAACACTAAGTTTAGAATACATAATTTACAGGACCTTCTAAACCCCAATACTCCAAGAAATAGATTCTGCAAATCTTTGGTTCAGGGACTTCACTCCAAATTATAGAAGTTCTCACTTCATAAAGAAATATTGAGCAACCACACAGTTAATAATATGTATGCTGAGTTATTAAAGTAGGAGGCCCATGACAAACTAGACAGCATTTTTTGTGACCAGGTGCCACTTACCTTTAACATCATATTTTCTTAGATGTCACTCTCACTAAGTTTCCCAAAGCATAAATCTAAGTCTATAAAATATTCTGCCTTTATCTGATATATATAGATGTTTCATATATTGGGAAATGCACTAACTAGAGACTGTCTGAAGAGTACCACAGTTACAATACCTCCATAGGCTTGAGGAAACAGATTGCTTATTGTCAAATTCCTCCCATGCGTTAACTCCCTAAATGACTTTGAATAAGTGGGGTCACTCTTTTTGGTCTCAATTTAATCATTGTAAAATTAAGATAATATTTGTGCTTACTTAATATAGTCTTTTAAAATTTAACATACTAAATTTAGAACAAATCCTAGGTCATTTTAAATTTTGAACTGATATCAAATAATATTAAAATCAAACTTTTTTTTTCTACATGGGGCCTCACTTACTTGCAAGTTCAGCTATTTATATTAAATATGATTAAATATGACTTCTTTCCTGAGTAATATTGGAATGTCATTGATAACCAAACATACACTTTGCACTCTGAGAATCCCTGGGCTCCACTGAGTTCCATCTGAAGTGGGTCGTATTAATTCTCACTGTTAGTTATGTAGTAGAAGTCACAGCTAGGACACCTTACAGTCATATCATGGTAGCCTATTTGTTACCCAACTGCTTTGATGCAAGTTTAAATACATTTTCATGTTCCCCTCAAATTTATCAAGATAATGCAGAGGTTGTAGGATAAAATGAATGCTTGTAAATTAGCTTTTGAAACAGCATATTGTGTCTCAGGGACTCTAGGTAGCTTCTGAGAGAATATTAACTTCTATCATAAATTTGATTTTCATCTTGAACAAAAAACAGTAGGATATGCAATTTAAAATCTTGTATGATGCCCAGTTGATTTATAAAGTTTTTAAATACTTAATGTTTTGTTACACAATCACTGTTTTCTCCTGGGAATGAAATGTATAGTTATGGTTTCATCATTAATTTTGTATACTAACTTATATGACAGATAAATCAAGATTGTCTTCAAAAGATTTAAATAATGTGTTATAATGTTTTAATCATATCTTTATTGTTTTACAGAACTCCACAGGAACAAGCTCTTAGCCTGCTACCAGATACATTCATGCATCCATGTGAAGCTAGTAGTGAGGCATGGTGCCTTCAGAATGGAAATGATGAAGATGATGATGGTTAGTTCAGCCTTGATTAGATCTTTTAAAATGTATTATTTAAAATTATTAATTAGAACATGGCTTTCGTATTCTTTAAGGTGTCATTCTCAAGCTGAGTATGTAACCCTATATATCCAAATCAAAATCATGCACACTGCCTTTCCATTCTTGAGATTTAATCTACCTTTAACTAATTAATTAATTAATTAATTAATTTTTGGTACTGGGGATTGAACTCACAACCTCACATTTGCCAGGCACGTGCTTACACCACTGAGCTAAATACCTGGCCCAATTTGCCTTTAATTTTAAAAGTTTTATTTAAACATTGGATGTCAAGAAAATGTGCATTTAATTTAATCTGAGAAAATTGACAGTACTTTCATATATGGATAATACTGAAAATATTATTTCAAGAGAATAATCAGGTAAGATTTGGCCTCTGATGGTATTACTTTTTAATCTTATTTTCCAGTCCAGGGGACCAAAGCACAATACCCAGCATTGTTTATGCCAGTAGAAGAATTAAACACAGAGAGACCTGAACCATCTATAAAGATAATAGAATTGGATGATGTAAGTGCATAATGACTATTTATATATCTTAACTAAGATAAAATCAACAATATACAATTTCACATAAATGTTATTGTCAAGATTTCTTCCACAACCCAACTATTTAAATGAAAATTAATGTGTTTGAATTTAAATATGGTGATAAAAATATGACAGTATACCTTTTAAAATAGTGATTTTGTGGTCTAAATTTGTATTGTACTGTTTTTGGAACTATGCAATATGAGAGGTGAGAATATATTTCACTATGTTGATTTATAGAATATACTTTGATGTTTGGTTAGTTTAGTTCTTTATGTTATCAGAGAACTTTACCAAACAGAACAATTTTGTTACATAGCATCTATTTAATAATATTTAAGTTCAAATATGTTTTACTGCATGTTATTTAATATTATTTTCTATTTAAAGGAACAAATTGTACTTAAGATTTAAGGAATTTGTTACAAGTTGTGCCCAAACCCCTAGAATACATCACTACAGTTACCTGAAGCCAGAGGCAGTCAGAGCTATAGCTTTAGGGTTAGTGACAGTGAATCTCTTAAAGCTTTCAATGACAGCAAGCAGTCCGATATGGCACCTGTGCCATAGATTTGCCACCACTGCCTAGGATTTGACAAAATTACTATGTGTCTGACTTTTCTAGTCCTCCAGCAGCTGAAAGTACCACTGTTTGAGTGGCACATTTTTTTTTTTACTATGATTGCCACAGAAAATGAGGCAAACAAAGAAACTATGTCAATAAATTACTGCTCTCTTCCTTAGGTCAGCATATTGTCCTGCTTCTTTTATGCTTAGAAACATTTTTATGTTTTCCTTGTACAATTCTGAGGTATTGAACAAATATTCACAGCCAAAGACATACAGAGATGCACCATGACCTATTCATTAAATTGTTGATGCGTGGAATAATCTTGACATGCCTTTCAGAGAACTAAGAACCTCTTGGTCACTGATCTACTTGAAACACAATAAAACATCATTTGCTATTCTTGATTCTTTGTGTAATCATTGTCACAAAGGGTAATCATGCTTTTGGGGATATAGCTACAGCAGTCATGCTGTAGGAACAAAGTACTATAAATATCACCTACTTTTACTTGTTTAATGTATGATAAAATTATTGGATATACTAACAATGTATAAAATGCATTTAAAAGACTTATGAAGAGGAACTTGAAGAACCAGGAGACTTTGTGCCTTACAAAGTTGAATTAGCTAATGCAGATTGCCAGCTAAGGTAAGATGTTTGTAATTCACTTGCAATGTTTATTAAAACTGAGATATACAAAAATTATCAGTCTTTTAAAATAAAACTTCATGATTTTAAAAAACATGACTATAAAATTAATTTATGTAAGCTGTATTTAAGTTTGTGTTTAATACTGATAATATTTAACTATTTATAAATTATAAAATCACATAAAGTGTTAAATTTGTAGTTTTGACTAATATATAACTTAATTTTTTTGAATTAAGAAATTATTTGTTGTTGAAAAACTCTAATATATTTTATATGAGTTTTCTTCAAAGATATTCTTTTGAGTTTATGTTAGTTTGCTATGAATCCTAAATAGCTATATAAATGATTATGTAGATGCTGAAAGTGCTCCCATACTGATCACTTCCCACATAGAATTTAATGTATGTTAAACTGATGGAGTATGATGGCTCACTCTGTAATTGGTAGAATTTTCTTATTTCCAAAATAAGAGTATGTTTAGTTCTGTCAATTTGTAATACTAATTATCATGTGACACTTTTGATTTTGCAACTTTAAGATTTTATGTGTTCTGACTATATGGTATCAAATGTGAGTCTACAGTGAAATGAAGTTACTATTTTGTAGTTTCTGTATCAATTCTTTGTTCCAATCAAGTTAGGCCTCTTCTAGTACTTTACAGCATACACTCTGGGCCCATTCACTCAGGTATGTAGAAGCAAATATATTTTTGCCAGTAGAATTTTGGCAGGAGGTAAACGGAGATAAATTTCTAGTCAACAGATGGAGGTTCATATTTAATACTTTATACCTAAGGAAATGAAAGGCATTTTTGCCTTCTAATTTAATTATTTAATATATCTTATCACATGTCTTTACTTTGACTGTTATATATGATAGGGAAGTCAGAGAAAGTTTGTGGTTATGATTGCACAGTGGTTTGGCCATTTTGATTTGAAGATACCTATAGAAATTCCTCAACTTTAACTTTCTCTAAAAAATCATGAATGATAAAATAGAACCCTTTTGGTTAAATATAATCTATGAATGTTATGAATGCACCATATATTTCTTGAACAAATATTAGGTATTATTAAATATATTGCTTAATTTATAATTAATTCATTATAGCTATAATTAAAGTTATGCCTATAGAACAGTAATTATTGTTTATAATTGAAATCTAAATACCATATGCTACTTTCTGCATAATTCTATTGTTATAATAATGTATATATAAAATAGTATGTTAAAACAAATATTAAATTAACATAAACCATATATTATTAAATATTTACTGTATTTGTTTTTAATAAAATGGGACGTTTTAGGTATTAGTTGTTTCAACTCTACTTTTATTCTTGTCCTTAATAATGAAAGGCATACATTTCATGATTATGAGAAGTACAAATTTCCATGTGAAAATGACAGCTATCAAGACCATATTTTTGACAAAGTAAAAACAGATCTCTCAAATTTTGCTTTGCCTTACAACTCTACATATTATAAAGATTATATAAAAGGTAACTTTTCTCTTATTGCTTAATATTATTAACAATTGATGTTAGTAGTACATTAAAATCAATAGATTTTAGAGTTTATAAAATTTGTTTATTATTTTCATTTTAAAACTGAAATTTAATAGTTGGAAGAAAATTTGTTGCAAATGTTTAACTTACTGTGTTATTAGTCAGTGTACAACATTTTTTGTACACATTAGAAAAGGAAACCAAGGACTGGGGATACAGCTTCAGTATAGGCCCTATATTCAACTTCCCCACCACTGCTAAAACCAAAAAGTTATTTGGGACCAAATTAGCAGTTTAAAATTGCATAGAAGACCATATAGTGATAAAAGTTTAACTGGTACCTGCTGTCCTTTCGATTAAATATTTCACAACATTCATATTTGATGCAAAGTTTCATATGAGATATAATCTAAATAAAACAAACTATCTTGTTTGTATTTTTGTATTGTTACTAGTAGGAGTTCCCTTGTATGCTTTAGATTAGCATGCTGTGTAAATGTCTGGTTTCATTTTCCAGAATGGGATGCCATCATCTGGAATTACAGCAAAATATATTGGTCGAGGAGTCAAATTGTGTTTTCATAGCTGGACTAAAGTTATTGTGCCATGTTCAATGCATTGTTTACTTCCTTAGATCTAGTTTACTAAACTACAATGTAAGAATTAGATAATGCTCCAGCTTCCTTTAAAATACTATACTTGATCTCAGATATTTTATGAGGCAATAAATATACCTTATGTAAAGAGTTTCAAAGATACCATAGGATATTATTTAACAAAGTTTTAACACTTATGATTATCTTCACATTGATCACTACAATGTACAAAAGACATATAGCTTCTGTGTCAGTTCTGCTGGTTTTGCTATTTTTGAACTACACTAAATCTCTGAAAAATTATGGCCCACTATGAACATTGCACCATTTGAATTTAGAACTTTATAACATTCTTGATCAGGTCTGAAAGTAAGTATTATTTGAGCAAAGTGGAGCATTGTTTTTCAGTTGCCTTTGAAGAATTATGAACATAAATGCCTATATGAACATTACTTTAAGACATTTAAAAATAATTTTTCTTTAGCACCATTGATGGTTTGCAGCAAAACTGAGAGTCCCTACACTACAGAGAATCCCTATATGCTCTTTGTGCCCATACATGTTCAGTTTCCTGCACTGTCAGCGTTTCACAACAAAATGCTCCCTGTTCAGTGATGAAGAGTATTCAACTCTATGGTTTATGTAACCATTTTCTTACTGGAAAACAAGTCAGTTCCTTCCAAACTATGGTAATTATTACCACTAATGTGTATATGAAGACTTGTTGGATGTTAGTTTTCAACTCATTTGGGAGAATACTACAGATAAAAATTTCTGAATTTTATGTAACACTATGTTTAGTTTTGTATAAAATCGCCAGTTTCTATCATTTTATATTTACACCAACATTGAATGAGTCTTTCTATTGTACCACATCCTCCCAGAATTTATTTTTTGTTTTTGCTATTTTAATTACTGTATAGTAGTGCCTAATTGTTTTAGTTTGCTATTCCTTAATTACATATGATGTTGAACTTTTTGACATGTTTATTTTCTATAAGATATCTGTTCAGGTTTTCTGGGAATGTTAAAATTTTCTCAGTCTGTAGATTGTCTTTTCATTCTCTTAAGTATATTTGCCATAGATAAAAAGTTTTTAATTTAAATGAAATTCACTTTTTAATTATTTGTTCAGCTTTGTATCTCAAAGATTTATTCCATACCCAAGATCATCTAGGTTTTCTACTTATGTTTCAGAGCATCTCAGTGGGCCCTATCTCCTGATCTACTCTGCCTATGTTTCTTTTTTTGGTTAGTGTATCAAGGCCATGTATACTAGAAAATATATCCAGCCTTCTCTGCCTCATTTCTGTTGTGCTCTTTTTCTGCCATTAGTTGTCTGCTTTTTTTCATTCCAATTTCTGCTCCATTTGTTGAGGCTTCTCTTCCACTGTTCCTGGAATCCTGGTACTTTTCTCTCTCTCTAGAACGTTCTTCAGTATTGTCTGAATTGTCTGTCTCAGGAAACCTCTGTATTCTGCTCTTTATCTGTCATCTTTACCAGAAGCCCCCTAACAATTTTAAAGAATATCTTCAGATGATTCCATTGTTTAGTAGGCTGAAATCTCATGGTCTAACTAAGCAATTTATTTAAAGCAGGCATAGAAGTGAGTGGCTAAGATGATCTTGCTCATTCTATGGCTTTTGATAGGTGAGTATCCCAGTGCCACATTTTCTGCTCCTCTTCAGTCATTTGATACCTTTGTCTTTGCCTTCTCTTTAGACTAGGTGTATTGCATCTAGTCTAAATTGAAAAGTAAGACAAAAGTCAAAATGAATGAACTTTAATTCCTGCTTATTTTTCTTGGGAAACTGGCTTTCTGTGCCCATTTTGTGACACATGTTGTTCTTTTGAAAGGTGAGAAGAGATGGAGAACTCTGCCAAAAACCATTTTATTATTAAATATTTTTCTATTAATGTCTACAAGTCTTCTATAATAAGAAATACATTAGGAGAATAGCTACAAATACAACAAGAAGAAAGAAAGCTGATTTTTACTGGAGATCTGGGTTAGGTCAATAAAAAACAACATCTGACATGAAAACTGAAAATCTCAGACTTTCATTTAGTGTAGGTATGTATGTACAAACCCAAATTTCCATTTGAATATATATTTACTTGTTGAAATCTCCAAGCCAAAGAATTATCTTTATTGCTATTTATACCCAGACATATCTGGAAAAAAGTAAATCTTAATCCTTCCTAGAAAGACATCAGCATTTACCCAACAATGGTTTCCTTAGATAAATCCACACTTCAGATGAGCTAATATTTCCCTTACCCCAGTGGAGAAAACAGTTAATCACAGCATGAATTTCCACAAACAAAACAAATAAGAACTCCTGTTTCCTAACTTCCACAAGGCATCACAAAGACAGCTTGATGGTACCTGCTCAGATAGTGGACTGTGTTATAGGAGAGGGCTACTCAGCTTCAAAAATCACACTCTTTTGTAGTGTACTGTACAACTACTTGATCTCACTTAGACCTCTTTTTGATTGTCTGTTGAATTCGGTGGGTATTAGTGCAAATGTTGATATTTCAGTAACTACTGTAGTTGGGAGCAGTATCGTCCTTTGTCTCTAGCTGAGAAGTTGCAGATCTTCTGCTAGCATTTATGAAACTACAAATAATAGGCTTGAAGTAAATGAGAAATCTTATACCCTTCACAATTCTTGGTGGCAAGTAGAAAAGTAAGCTAACAAATGAAGCATGTAAATAATAAGAGTGAGCAGATTAAATTATATGTATTTAGAAATAGATTCCAAATTTGGACATAAAATCCATCTTGCTGATTTTCACCAGAAACTCACATAACATGGAGGAAAGTATAAGAGTAAAGGCAAACATTGAATAGAAAACATTTTAAGATAATTAACAAACATTGCCATGACAAGGAGAATGACTCTGTATGATAACAATGAGTTATAGTAAATAGTAAATGATATGTACCTATGTTCATATGTACCTATAAATACAGCCTCAGAAGTGTTATAGTAACATGATATTCCTAAAAGTTCCATCAACTCAAAGAGAGTTTTGTAAGAGAAAATAGAGATCTGAACAACATAAATAAACTTGGAGGGCTTATTTTGAATCCTTTGTTCAATAATTAGAGGTCATATATTCTTTGTAAGACTATACTCTTTGTAAGACTATATGGGACATTTACAAGATATACTTTTACAGCACATCACCAAAATAAAACTACAAAGTAAATTTAACAAATCTTAAAGAAGTGATACCACATATTGTGATTCCCAACCACAATACAATAACATAAATTGATATCTAAACCAAAATAAAAAAGACAATTCAAATAAGTTTGGCATAAGGAAAAAATCATAAAAATAAATTATGATTATTTTAAACTAAACATTAACTTAAGGACTATAAGTAAAAATATATATTATGAATTTCAAATACTACTTAGTAGAAAATTTATGCAGATGGCCCCTATCTGCCATGGCCCAATTTATGAATTTTTTTCATAATGGGTGTGCAAAAGCAACACATTTAATAGAAACTGTACTTAATACAGAAAATTGGAATAGATGGTCAATATAATAAAGGCCATCTATGACAAACTAACAGCCAGTATCATACTAAATGGACAAAAATTGAAGGCCTTTACTTTACAATCAGGCACAAGACAAGGATGTCCCCTATCATCACTCCAGTAGCACTGGAAATTCTAGTCAGAGCAATTAGACAAGAGAGAGAAATAAAAGGGGTAAAGATAGGGAAAGAAGAAGTTAAATTATCGTTGTTTACAGAAGACATGATACTCTACATAGAAGACTCCCAAAACTCCTTTGAAAGACTTTTAGATATAATAAATAAGTGCGGCAATGTAGCTGGATACAAAATCAATACTCAAAAATCAATAGTATTCCTATACACTAACAAGAAAATTGCACTGAGAGAAATGAGAAGCCACACCTTTCACACTAGCAACCAAAAAATGAAATATTTAGAAATTACTCTCACAAAAGAAGTGAAAGATCTATACAGGGAAAATTATACACTGAAAAAAGAAATTGAACACGATCTCAGAAAATGGAAAGCCATCCCTTGCTCATGGATAGGAAGAATAAATATTGTGAAAATGGCCATTCTCCCAAAACTGTTAAACAGATTCAATGCAATTCCAATGAAAATACCATCAACATACCTCCTAGATCTCAAGAAATCACTCCTAAAATTCATCTGGAGTGAGAAGAGACCCAGAATAGCAAAGACAGTTCTAAGCAGCAAAGGCAAAGCTGGAGGCATCATAATCCCTGACTTAAAGTTATACTACAAAGCAGTTGTAGTAAAATCAACATAGTACTGGAACCAAAACAGAGTTGAAGATCAATGGAATAGATTAGAAGATACAACCATGACTACCAGCA